CCGGGGGTTGCCCCGGGGTCTGCCTACACCCCCGCGGCTGCGGGGAAGCCGGGGAGCCCCTGGGCTGCTCAGTGCTGGTCCAGCCAAGACAGCGTGGGGGGCTGCCTCAGGGACACGGGGTCAGCTCTGGTCCCCCCACCTCCCCCCAGGTTTGGTGTTGGGGAGGGGGCAGTGCATGCAAGCAAGCTCCTGCAAAGGGTGCAGGGATACTCAACAACCCCCCAGCCCGTGCCTGGGGGAGCGCTGCAGCTGGTGCCAAGGGCTTAGCAGGGCCATTTTATTAACTTCGTAATAGAGATAGATACAACCTAATTCTCCTATGGCTAAGGCAAAGCCACCCCTCTCCACGCCTCTCCAAGCCATGGTCCATGGGTTGGGAGCCCCAGCTCATTATCACCTCTCTGACCTGTCCCCAGGTCCCCTGTCCCACCCTGGAAGCAGCCGATGGAGAAGGAGGCTCGTGGTAGCACCTACCGTGGAGGGCGTCCCGGGATGGAGAGGGAACACGCAGACAGGGCAGCAGGGAGGGAGGACCGTGAGAGCAGTGGGAGGGAAGAGAGCCACGTTACAGAAAGCATCAACAAAGGACCCACAGCGAGGTGGGGAATCGGGGTTTGTACGGCCCCGTCGAGCCCCAGGGGATGGCAGCCCTCGCCCTCCATCGGGGAATCCCACCCCACATCTCCCACCACCGTGGGGGCGTGCAGATGGGCAGGTATGATGGAGCATCTCCACTCAGCGCTCATCTCTCCAGCCCTGCCTGCATGCCCATGGTGCCCACATGGCTCTGAAGAGCAGGAACAGATGCCCAAAATCTCCCACCCCCTCCAAATGGGTCAGGGCCATTGAAATGGCCCTGGATGGCCCCAAGCCCGCTGGTACCAAAGCCTCCTTCCTGCTGGTCCCCCAAGATGAGGAGATGGCCCCAGCTCCACTCCCTGCACCAGCACCTGCCTCTTGAGTACTGGCTTTTTGGGGACCCCAAACCGGTGGGCGTTTTGGTCTGGTGGTCCTCCCCTCTCAGCTAAAGGCACAGCTCAATGAAATGAGGACAACTCAGAGGAAGGCAGGGAGACATAAGGGATTAAATTAACATTTCCTGGTTCAGGTGAAGCATTGGCAGGTCCAGGCCAGCTTGACCCTGGCCCCATCTGGGCCACCGGGCACTGGAGGAGGACAGTGCTGCTGTCTCAACTGCAGGCTCATGTCTGCGCTGTCCCATCCCAGGATCCTAGTGGCTCCATCCCCCTCTGCTGCCTGAGCTACGAGTGCCCCGACATGGATCGTAACTCAACTGGAAGGATCATCCTACAACACCAAGCGCAGGACAAGGCCAAGCAGTCCATAAGGACGTCACCTGGTTGCCCGACTTCATGTCCTTCATGTTCATGGCGTTCTTCATGCCTTTGCCCTTCTCCTTCTTGTTCTTCTTCTTCTTGCAGCAGCACTTCTTGCAGATGCAGAAGCAGCAGGTGAGGATGAGGAGTCCGGCTACCACCGCGATGGCAATGAGGGCCCAGGGTGGCACTGCGGGCAAAAGCCAGTATCATTGTCAGCCCTGCAGCGCCCTCCCAGCCCCAGCCACCCCACCACCCTGTCCCACATGCTGCACTGGAACCCGAGCGGTGGTGGGGTCATGAGGAAGGTGATACCTGGAAAAGGAAGCAGCTACTCACGGGGGATCTTGTTGAGCTCATTCATGAACTTGTCCCTCAGCTTGGTGAACATGTCCTCCTTGCCCTCGCCCGGCCCGGCGGCCTCAGTGGAGTTCTCCATCGTGGCCATGGGCATCGTGGTGGCCGTGGCCTCCGGGGCCATCATGGATGCTTGCTTGAACGTCATGGTGGGTCAGGGGCTCCCTGGAAACCAAACTCGCCCCGGTGGTCACCCAGGTCCCTGCTGCCCCCGCCCCTCCCCGTGCCCAGGCTGTGTCCCTGAGCAGCCGTCTGCACCGAGTACAACATCTGCATTGACAGCAGGGCCACAACAGGGCGCTTGATCTTCTGCTAGAGGAGCGTAGAGCCCAATGGTTATGAAGGACATGAGGATCCAGACACCTGGATTCCCTCACAAGCAATGGGAAGCCCAGTCGACCCCCATGTTTCCTGACCCTTGACATCTCCATAGCCACCAGGAGCATCACCCAGCATCACGTCAATGCTGGTGCCAGCTCGGAGCCTCCTGGGGACATTGAGGACGCTCCTGGGGAGATGTTCACCCGGTGAGGCCCCATGGGATGAGAGAAGGGGTGTTTGCATCCCCAGAAGAGATGAGCAAGGTTAGTTTGGACAAAGCCAGCCCCACTGCCTCCCCCTTTTCTCAGGCAGGGACCCATCAGGCACCTGCAGACCCAACACATGGCAGCAGCCAGACCTCTCTTTATGCAGGGACCCAGCGCTGGTGTGGGACCCTCAGGACTTGCTCCCAGCCCTGGGAGAGCTTCCAAGGATGGGAACAGGAGAGGAGCAGCACATTGCTCTTCCTCCAGCCCCAGGGAGCTTTTGCAGGGCACATTTTGAGGATGGATGCAAGCAGGGAAGAGCCGGCTCTACACAGCTGTGGTGGGCTCAGCGTGCACGTCAAAGGGTCAGCCCTTTCACCATGTCCTGGGTGGCTCAAGGCTCCTGGCTGCCTCCCAGTCCCACAGAGGCCAGCTCCCCCGGCCAGCCCCGCTCCCTGACAGGGCACGGGGAAGGTGCTCGGCTCACTGCCAGGGCTGCAGCACCCCCCACCCCAGCTCAGCAGGGCCTGAAGCACCCCCCAAGGACAGGGACACCCACTCCATGGTCTTGCAGATGTGGCATTTGGTCCTGCAAGCAGAGCTGGTACAAAGTGCCTCCACGACCCAGCTCTGAACCCAAAGTGCCTCCACGACCCAGCTCTGAACCCAAAGTGCCTCCATGACCCAGCTCTGGACCCAAAGTGCCTCCATGACCCAGCAGAAGGCAAGCTTGCAAAGGGAAGATCACAAGGCAAGAAGCCAAGGGAATTATCGGTGTCGGTGGGATTAAGGAAGATAAAAGGCTATTCAGTGGGGAAGCAAACAGCTGAGCGGGAGTGCAGCTAACCAAGGAAGGAGTTTCTGGGGGCACATGAGCTCTGGCATGGGAGGAACCCCCTTTCCTGTATCCCTTCTCCCCTCTCGGTGAAGCCTCCTCGCCCAGAGCATCACCCCCCAGCGCCTGCTGCTCCTCCATCCTTCCTGCAGCAGTGGAAAAAAAGAGTGTTCTCACCTCAAAAAGTCAGCCAGAGACCTGGGGGTTTCCGGCCCCGAAGCGGCTCTGCCGTACCGTCTCCAGCTGCCTCTCGGGTGAATTGTGCACTGAGTTGCCCAGCGCTCAGCTCCGCACCCGCACACCTTCCTCCTCTGCCACTGGGGAGGGGGGG